TTAAATAAATAAATTAGATATTTTATTAATATTAAATAAATACAGTACATGTTATATGTAACAATTAACAATTTAATTATTATACCAAATATTGATATAGTATACAATAAATTAAAATCCAGTTTAAATCCGGCTGCTATAATTTCAACCGGATTTTTCAAAAATGAAACGGAAAAACTGGCTATTTTAAGTACAATTTCAGGCCCTGGTCTTGCATCTGTGTCAATGCGTCTCACACTAAACTAATTGCATCACACGACTTTTAATTTTGACGACATGTATAGTTTAAGGGATAGTGAAAGTTTGATTTCATTGGCTAAATTTTGCGATGATCACCCTTCCAGATATCACAAAAAAATTGGCTTGAAGATCATGATCAAAAAATCATTTTGTGTTACATTAAAGAATAGTATATATCTCGAATTCGTGTAATGAGGCAGTTCTCATTATTTCATAGGTCAGTTTTATTGAAAAAGGTCTCAAATGAAAAAAAAATGAATGATCCAATCTTTGAAATCTCCAACCATAGCAACTCCACTTACACCATTTACTTCCACACCAATAACAAGTGATAATAAAGCTGAAGAAGAAGATGATGATGCAGAAGAATATACTGAAATTAGGGCAGCAGGTGAATTTGATTGGCAAATGCACACTAGAACAAAAGAAGAATTAAAGTATCAAAGAATCTTAATTGATTAATTGTTTTATTAATTTATTATTATTACTGATTTGTTTCCTCTTTCTTCTTAGATTATTATTGGATAATTTTTCAGAAGATCAACTTAAAAGATATTAAAGACTAGTGCCATAAATTATGGTGATGGTAGTAATTGTATTTACAGCATATAAAAAGTGGTCACAATTACCTTTGCGACCACTTTTGCAACCATACTTTTTCCTTTTTTGGATTACAGCACTAGTCTTTAAAAGATATGAAGTTTATAGAAGATCTGCTTTAAGTAAACCTAATGTAATATTTATATACACACCCTAGACAAAAGTTTTCAGACACCCGTTTTTACTGATTGCACAAAACTACACATAATAACTATACATAAAATTTATGTCATTTGTGGCCTAGTTTTTGACAAACATGTATACAGATTTTCATAATTTTAACACATCTAAAACTCAGTAAATAAAAAAAAAATACTAATTTCAATTAAAAAATTGATGTCATTCATGAGTTTTTGTATTTTCTCAAAAATCCACATAATAAATAAATACAAAACTATATGATCTTAAAGTTCATGTTCCAAGGAATGTATGTATTGAAATTCATACTTCTAGCACGCCTATATAACTAGATCTTGATCTACATTTTTTCACCATCTTTTTTTACAAAAATGCCAAAAAATTCCAATTTGACTGAACTTGAATGAGGAAAAATATTAGGTCTTCATATGAGTGGTAAAAGTATTAGAGCAATTTCCAAATGCCTTAAAATACCCAAAAGTACAGTTCATAATCAAATTACACATTATAAAAATTCTGATGATGTTAAAAGTGCTCTACAACCTGGCAGACCAAAAAGTTTAGATGATGATGACAAAAGAAATTTAAAAGAAATTACAAAAAATAATAATTTTAATTCTGCAAAAAAGATCAAATGAAATTTACTGAAGTCAGTGGCAAAGAGATTAGCACAAGAGCTGTTTGTATAAGTTTGCATGAACTTGGGATTTTTTCAAGGGCTGCTGCTGTTAAACCACTTCTAACACAAAAACAAAAAGAAAATCGATTAAAGTGGTGTTTAGAAAGAAGGTCTTAGACAGTAGAAGACTGGAGCAAAGTGATTTGGAGTGATGAATCATGCTTTACAATCTTCAGAAGTGATGGACCAAGACATGTTTGGTGTACTGATGGTCAATGTTACAATATTGAAAATATTGTCCCTTCAGTTAAACATGGTGGTGGTGGCATAATGGTTTGGGGATGCTTTTCTGGAAAGGGATTAGGTCCATTAGTAAAAGTGGAGGGTAAAATGAATTATTTAGACTATACACAAATTCTAGAAAAAAATTTGTTACCATTGATTAGAAGAAAATTTCATGGTGGAGATTATGCATTTCAAGATGATAATGCACCAATGCATACTGCAAAAGATGTACAAAAATGGATTGAAAAGAAAAAAATAAAATTTTTGTCTGATTGGCCTTCTCAATCCCCAGATCTCAACCTAATTGAACATCTGTGGGATGAACTTGAGAGAAGATTAAAAAAACAAGAAAGTTATCCAAAAAATGCTTCAGAGTTAGAGCATGCATTGAAAGAAGAATGGGCGAGCATTCCTTATGAAAGATATTATAAATTAATTGAAAGCATGCCTAGAAGGATTGAGGCATGTATAGAAAAAGATGGATGGGGAACCTACGTGTTATTAATTTTTATTTTTATTCATTTTTTTATTAAATTTTTTCAATTTTGAAGATCATCAAAATAAACTTTTTGGTATTTTTTTTATTTACTGGATTCTAAACATGAAAATTTATACGCATGTTCATCAAAACCTAGGCCATAAATGACATAAATTTTATGTATAGTTATTATGTGTAGTTTTGTGCAATCAGTAAAAACAGGTGTCTGAAAACTTTTGCCTAGGGTGTGTAGGTCCACATGTGACTCAACTTGGTTTAGCATATCTGATCATGTTTTCGTTGAGATTTCTTAATGCAATTGTTTGTGCAAGGTTATCTAGAGAACAATGACTAACAGTCATTAGATGGATGCCTTATGTTTTAATGCACACTGCTATCATCCAAACACTTACCTATGTTCTTTACAATGTTTATACTGTGGGTAAATCTTGTCATCATTTAAATTTTGCAGGTTTATTGTTGGCATTGATAAGAGCCTTATTTAAGATTTTGAATATACTGTATATGGCAAGGTTAATTTGGTTGAAGATACAGCAGGCCAAAGAAATAATATATTTGATAATATTTGAAGATCGGCCAAATTAAGATCATTAAGTATCATTTTAATATTGCAATTTCTTGTGATAATATTGGCAATATATAATTTTAATTTTAATCCACACTGTAATCCAAATATAATTCAGGCTTGATTTATTTTTATTGATTGATGTTTACCAGGGCTGGCAGCGTAAAGGGGTTAACAACCTAATTTAGTAACAATTACCTTGACTAAACTTGACTAAACTTGACTTAACATATGACTAAATAGTTTAGTCAGTTTAGCCAAGTACTCATTTGAGTTACGCAGCCAGCCCTGATGTTTACATCACTATATAAATAAGACTAAAAATATTATTATTGTCATCATTTAGAATTTAGCAATAAATGGTGCTGAATATAAAATACTTGCACGCAATGAATCAATTACTGGTTGGATTAGTGTAATTGAAACAAATAAACCTTATCATATGTGTGTAATGTGTGCTGGTCATTCATTGTTAGGAGGAATTTTTTTAGATACTTTTGATTCTGTTTATGGAAGGTAAATGCAAAATAATTAACTATTTTTTAATTATGATTTTAAGTAACACTAAACTTAATTATTAAATCTTTTAGCTGTTTAATTGGTTGAAAACAGAAGATGTAATACCAAAGAGAGAGCTTTACATATGTATGTATGTAAACTAGCCTCAATTATTTTCTTTGGTATAGGAAAATGATTTTTATGATATTTTTTTAGTGGATTGGGAATTGGAGTTTCATCAAAATCATTACAATTACATAAAGTAGCATTAGATATAGTGGAACTTGATCCAGTTGTATATGAGTATGCTAGAAAATTTTTTGGATTAAAATGTAAACACAATATTTATATTCAAGATGGACATGAATTTATTAATAATACAAATAGCTGGTATTATGATTATGTGTTGCATGATGTATTTACTGGTGGTTCAGTTCCATCAAGGAATGCATTGCAATCAATTCACATTTTTGTAAAAGGAGAATCTGACACCTATGATCAACATCAGACTTTTTTTTTTTTTTTTTGGAGATTATTTACTACTTGTAATTGAATATAATTTGAGAGAAGTTAAAATTAATTACAACACAATAAATAGTCAATAAAATATCGTATAACAGCAGGGGCGGTGGTGATTATAAATTCATCAAGGAGCATTGTTAAACAATTGAAATTGCATGTTTTAGGTCAATTTTCAGATTATTATTCAAATTAAAGATGAAATTGTTTACGTTTGATAGATTTAGCACATTATTAGTGAATTCAATATCAAATATAGGAATAGATATTATTAATTACACACATAAAGAATAACAGATTATTACTGTTGTTATTATTGAAGAATTGGTGGTGCTTTATCAACTTTCATAAGCATAGGCGTCCATTGTTATCATCATCATTGTCATAGTCATCTTCACAATCATAATCATCTTTAAATTCTATATTAGTTTTAATGGGGCGATATAGGTCTCATCAGGAGCTGGCATGATTGGAACTTCATGCTCACATTCATCTTGATATATACTTTCAGGTGTAAACTACCTAATGAATCATT